TTAATACTTTTTAGACTACTTTTTGCTTTTATAAATTTAACCAAAAACGGAAATCGATATCGATACCAGTGGATGGATAACAAGTCTATGCGTATTTTAATATATTTACCTTCGACAACTGATAAGTTTGCCCTAAAGCGAGGTAAGGGGCGAATTTATTTTTATTTTTGATCTCGCTGCTGCTGATGTTGGTTCAATTAATAATCTTGATTATCGGGTGATTTGTTGTAATAAAATTGTTATGCTTTCACAATAAAACCCGTGTCAAAGGCCATTGCTGTGACTCTGTTTGCTTTGGTTCTTTAGAGTAGACATTTAAATTCATATGTACACTTATATATCTACATATATATATATATGTATGTATATTTCTAGAAACTCTGATTACATTTAATATGTGTGCGTTTATGAATATTTACGATATGGAAACGTACATACATTATCATATTTAGGCACATGCAAGTACGTATGAATATGTGTGCATGTATAGTCTAAAACACAAGAATTAATTATTTGGAAATTGATTCGTGCGGAGCGACACATTGGTTCAGTTAGTTGTGTTCTGACAATTTTAATGAGCATTTATTCATATAGACAACCGAGTTCTTTACTTTGCCACAAAAAAGCAAACAGAACAAAAAATCCGATACAAATGGTTTTAGTATTTTAAAATTGATTTTATATCAATATATACTTTATATATGTATGTATATATATATACGTCCGCATGTCCTTGTATTCGTACGCCTGGATATTGGATGTAAGTACCTTTACCATGCAACTTAATTCATTTTCAATTAGTCAGCACAACTAGAGTTAACACAATGAACTCTTAATGAACTTTGCCATAATTGCACGTCGAATGCGACCAGTAAAAGCATGTGTAACGTGCTATATATACTACACTCTATCTACTCTATCTAACTACCCTATAGCGCCAGTGGGCTAAGAAAATTATCGAAAAATTTAAGACGATAACGATTTTTTTTTATATTTATTTTAAATTTGATTAAAGTAGAAGAACGCAAGGTCTTTAATATTTCGTTATAGTCACGTTTAGAGTTATCCAAAAAAAAAAAAAAATGAAAACAATAATAATAATAAAAAAAAAAAAAAAAAAAAAACAAAAACAAAATAATAAATAAATAATTGTAGTAGTAGTTAGCCCATAAACAAAATTGGCAATCAAAGGTAATTGACATTGACATTAGGCTTAGGTTTGCTAAACAATGAAATGGCGAAAATAATTGAATATCGAGATGATGCAATTGTTAAAATAAAGATGGTAATGCGGCTGTTAAATTAACTTCGACTAAAGCTATATAAATCAAAAGCTAACTAAAGTCGAAACAACATAACACTTACAGCCATCGAATAAAGAACAATCAATATTCATTCACGACATCATATAATCAATCGTGACAACATGATCAAATTTTGTTTTATTCTAATTGGGCTTACAATGGCGTTAGTTGCGGCTGAACCGTTACGTTTTAGAGCATCAAAAAAGCAGTCAATATTCTTAGCGCGACAAGAAGAGCCACCGACTACGCAGGATAGGGCAGCTATTGCACCTTATCCCGCAGCTGGTGTCACACCTGAAATACTATTCGAATTGCCCACAGAAACGGAGAAGCCTGAGCAAACTTATGGTCCTCCCGTCGCAGCACCCGATCAAACCTACGGACTGCCAGAATCAACTACAGACACCATGTTAGAGCCTGACAATACTTATGGTCCGCCAACAACCACTGCAAGCAGTAAGCAGGTTACTAATGAGGAAGCAAGCGTTGAAGAGCTTTCGAATTTAGTACAATCCAGATCAAATAAACAACGTAACCGTTATCGCACCGCTCGGCTAATCCTATCAAAGGATAACATCATTACAATAACGCATTCTAAACCGATTCTCGTGTACACTTTGCAATAAAGTTCTTAAATCAAGTAAGAGCCGCACTGAGAAATGTAAAAATTATATTTATAAAATTTTAGCCATAAAAGTATTTTGGAATTAATTTTAGACGAGGGTCTCTTACTTTTGCTTCCTAAATTTCAAACAATTTTGATTTACAAATCGAAGTCATGGCAAATATTCCCAAAAGCACGATTCTCTATAAAATATTGTTCATAAACGAAGATATGCATGTGAAGGTTCTCTCTCATAAAAATGCAGTATGTTTTATATATATGTAGAAGAACGAATTAACTATTCTTGCTCTTGTTTTTTTTTTTTTTTCTTAAAAGTTCATTCTATAAATTCTTTATTATTCTTTAAAATTTTTTGTGAAGAATTTCTCGGTAAAAATAGAATAAATGTATAATATGTATGTGTTTAATCATTTCTCCACTTGAAAGACGCATTTATCGAGCAAAATGGGTACAATGTGTATTAATCAAAATAGTTTCCGCCAATTTCTACAACTAGGCGAACATGGTCCGTGCAGAAAAAACGATACCAGTCATCATCATCGATCCATTTTCGCATTTTTTCAGCATTCGAAACCGCCTGCCAGCCAAGCCATACTGCGTTGATCTCAACCAGTGGTAACCAAAAGGCGGTGTGTGGTGAGTACGCTGAGTGCGACAGAACATTCCATTCGCGCTGCAACAGTGTATTCCGGACAACTCTTGCAACATGTGGCCGAGCGTTGTCATGCAAGGAGATGCCTTTGCGCCTGTTAACCGCTATTGCTGGTCGTTTTTGCAATTATACATCATTCAATTTGTTCAATTGATGTCCGCACATGTCTGCAGTGACAGTTTCATTCCGTTTTAGCAGCTCGAAATATATTACACCTTGCTAATCTCATCGTAAGCACTACAAAAATTCGCGGCTATGAATATTTGGCTTCGGTGTCGATGTAGATGGCTCTCCTGGACTAACCCATGACTTGTTGCGTTTGAGATTGTCGTGGAAGATCCTCGTTTCATCGTCAGTCGCAATACGTCACAGAAAAGATTTCTTTTCTTGTTTGGCAAGTAAAGAAACCTCGGTGTTGAAACGGGTCAAAGTGTCATTTTCAGTCAATTCTTTCCCTTCTTTTGGATCTTTCACA